CATAAATAAAAATGAACAGTATATAAGTATTTAAGATATACACTAACAAAAATAAAATAAGTAAGATGTGGTAAACAGCAACCAACATAGGTGGAAATATAAGATTCAATCTGTTGCCAAATGTGAAAAATAAAGAGAAGAGAACAAATAAGACAGAGATAATTGAGTTGGGATCCAGCAAGGTGGTGAACCCCGCAGAATATTTTCAGCTGCTCTTCACGACATTGCAATGAGTAAAGTGTCTGTTTTGGTCATAATGGTATCTCTTTGTTTGACAGCTGTTTGGGAACATTGCAATCGAAGAAGATGGAGAGAGCGCGATCAACCAGCACAACAACTTCAGGACCTTTGTGCAGGCTCTGATGCTCCTTTTTAGGTGTTTATTTGAGTTTTTACGTACTACATGATGATGAGTGAATCACGATGCAGACACTGTGTATTTGCTACAGTGCTACACACGAGGACTTTTGAAGCAGCTGTTTTGGCAACGTTTTTTTTTGTGTTTTTGAAGGAGTGCGACAGGAGAAGCGTGGCATGAGATCATGCTGGCGTGTCTGGGGGGTAAGGAGTGTGACCCCCTGTCAGGGAATGCAGAGCCAGAGTGCGGCAGCCAGGTTGCCTACCTCTACTTTGTCTCCTTCATCTTCTTCTGTTCGTTTTTGGTGAGTTCATCAAAAACTAGCATCCACATCCTCTGATTGTCTTAATGCAAAACCAAAAAAAAAAAAGCTTAAACCACGCAATACCTTCAATTTATTCATTGCGCCAAATGAAGAAATGCGTCAAGTGATTTTAGTTGTTTGTTTGTTTATCCCTTCTATTTTTTTGTGCACGCACATAGATGCTGAATTTGTTTGTAGCCGTCATCATGGACAACTTTGAGTACCTGACTAGAGATTCATCCATTCTGGGACCCCATCACCTGGATGAGTATGTAAGGATATGGGCCGAGTATGATCCTGCTGCATGGTGAGTGCTAACAACACTCATTTGCAAATAAACACACACACACACACCTGTAACTGTTTATAATATTAGAACTTTTAAGACTAGGGCTTTTGTTTTTTACTTATTTTATTATTAGGACTTTTTACAGATCGATCAAATGTTTTTGTTGTATGTGTTGTGGTTGTTTTAATGTTTTTTACATGCAGATACATTTTCCTTTTGGTAAAAATTAACACTTATTTTTATGATATTTTGATAAATAAACAGTAAAAATGTTCAGAGTTTAAGGTTCATCTAGTTATAAGAAAAGTAAAGCTCCACTGCAAGGGGGCTGTGACGGTTCTGAGTTTCCCCTCATGGGGTTAGCTCTATAATACCGTGCAACCCCTCCTTTCTCCTCCCCTCTCCTGAGGAATCCTTTATATGTTCTTACACCTATTCTCCCCTCTTCTGGAATCTGTATACTGTTAACAAACTTACCGTGGCAACGTCTACACTCCACGTAAAATTCCCTTTTGATGTGTACGTTTACTGTAGACATGCAAAGTTTCATGGTATCTGTATTCCAGAGCCTGTGTGTTGCCCTTCTGCTGGCCTTTGGATATTTTGTAAAGGGAGAATGAGTGGGAAGTGACTGAAAATAGCCCAATTAGTAGGAAATATACTGCAGTAGTCCCTCACTTATCACGGGGGTTACGTTCCAGACACCCCAGCGATAGGTGAAGATCCGCGAAGTAGGGACATTATATTTATTTTAGTATTTATATATGTTTTAAGACTTTATAAACCCTTTCCACACTCTTGCAATGTTTTAAACTCTTCAACCTATGTAATTTTAACAACATATGTACTGTACAGTACTGCAAAAAAAATTATGGGTACTCACCAGTGAAGATGCAACATGAAGGATGAGTTCAGCTTCAGGATTATTTGTGACTTTCCTGTCAGTTCTGTGTTTTTAATAAAATTGCAAATCAATTTTTACCACATCTGTTTCTTGGCTGGTGTCTGCTCCCTCCACTGCTGTTCTTTGAATTCCGACAGAAAGCAGCAGCCGGAAGCACTGTTGGCTTCTGTGTAATGTAGTTCTTTTGACTTGCATTACAGTATAGGCTTATTGAAAGAAAACTACAAAATGGCGGCGCCAGTCCGATTGTTTTTTGTTTGTTTGTTTGGTTGGTTCCCGCTCCTGTCCACTCCCGTTAACTTTTTATCCCGTACCATTCCAATCACGTGAGTAATATTAAAGTTGACAATCCTGTGTCGTGTACAATCTTAAGTTGAAAACCAGCGAAAGAGTGAGTCCGCAAAAGTCAAACCATGAAATATTGAGTTTGTGTTGTGAAAGTTTAAATTGGCACCATTAATTATAGATGTAAAAGTAGTGGATTTATGGTTAATTTTTTTTTAATTATATACAGTAGTCCCTCGCTACTTCGCAGTTCGTTTATCGGGGACTTGCTCTATCGTGGTTTTTCAAAATAAAATTGGACATGACACACAATTGGCTGATTGACGGATGAGCCGCATGATTGGCATGGAATTTTTATTTAAAATAAATTATTTTAAAATATTTAGCACCTCCTTAGAGTTGCACTTGGATCCAATTAATCCAAACCGACCCGGCCACAGCCTGCAGCCATCATCTCTGAACCCCACCCAATCTGACGAAGTAACAGTAATTACAGGTCCGAACCCGAAAAACAACCCCAACATTTTTAATTTAGCTTTAACTGCTTATACCACTGACTATTATTAATGGTTGGTGGACGTGTGCAGCTGAGGGGGCAGAAGATCGGAGCTGAGGAACCCTCAAAGTGCATTAAATGCTTCCCCTGCTTCTGCCTTCATCCTGCTCTGACATGTCGGATATTTTGTGATCTCACCTGTTTGGGTCATCGGCCGCGCGTGTCCGCTGAATGAACGTCCATTTGGGATGATGGATCGCTGGCAGTAGTCCATCTAAAGCTTAACTTAACTTTTTACCTCTTTCAACCAGCTGGTCAGCACGCTGTGAAATGGCCGCATGCGGCAGGTGTAGTATGGCAAGCCATGTTTGCATATATTGGATCGTCGGCCGCGCGCATCCCTGATGCAGTAAAAAATCCGACACCGACCCATCTCACACATTAAGCACATTATTATGGCCTGGCCCGGTCCGGTCCGAATCCAGGTTGGGCGGTGCCGGGCTCCTGGTTCGGGTTAGACATTATAGCTCTACACCTGCTGCACATTTGTGCAGCCGTTACTGCAGGATAAACTTCCTGCTGCAGCTGATCAGTTGTTCTGTGTACAGAGCTGAGAACTGGGCGTGGCCAAGAGAGCTTGCAGGTGGCAATGAGCAGACGAGGCAGAGAGCTGAAATCATGACATTCTGTGCTCGTTTAAGTTTAGAAACATTGTTTAGAATA